AAATGGTGAAAGTCTAGTTTGATAAAAACATTAAAAGGTTTCGTTGTGACAATGGAGGTGAGTTCACTTCCAACTTTATGTGCGAATTTTACAACAAAGAATGTATTTTACTTGAAACCACTTGCCTACACACACCACAACAAAATGGTGTTGTGGAGAGAAAACACCGACATTTGTTGGAAATAGCTCGGGCAATTCGGTTCCAAGCAAACGTTTCAAATAAATTTTGGGGTGAATGCATTCTTATAGTTGTCTATATAATTAATAGGTTACTTTCAAAAACTATAAAAAAAAAAAAAAAAAATAAGACACCTTACGAAATTATTTGGAATACAAACCCTTATATGACCACATGAAGGTGTTTGGCTGTCTTGCATATCATAAAATACAAATATAAAGGGGGATAAATTTGAGCAAAGAGGAAAACCAGGGGTATTTGTGGGATATCCGCAAGGTACTAAAGGGTATAATATTTATGATATAGATTCCAAGAAAATAATAGTTAGTCGGGATGTGATTTTTTATGATAACAAATTCCCCTTTCAAACCATTCATTCAGGATCTCAGTTAGAAGTTGGAGAGCCAGCTAAAATATTGAATGATTCTTGTGAGCATATGTACATTGATGAACCTGAATTAAATTTAAACCAAGAAATGGAGGTTGATATAGACTCGGCAACCCAAGATCAGTATGCATCAGATCATGGGAGTCCAAATGCGACAGAACCATCAGTGCCGACCAGCCCTGTCTCCTTGAGTCCAGCTGTAGTAACCAATCAGAACTCTTCCAAAAGCCCAGAACAAAATGAAAGCACAATAGGGCAATATGAGCCTAATTATCGAAAATTTGCAAAACGAGATTGAGACTCCTGCTAGATTCACACGAACTCGAGTGCAGCCCCAAAGATTTAAAGATTTTCTCGTGAATCTTCCCCTTTTGGTTAGTCATTAACAACCCAACACCAATCAAGAATCCTCCACGATACATCCTATATCGAATTCCGTTTCTTATAAAAATTTCTCTAACAAACATAAATGTTTCCTTATGGCCATTACTTCAAACAATGAGCTTATTTCTTTTTCTCAAGCTGTGAAAGATCTGTGATGGCGTAATTACGTCTAATGATACTTGGGAATTGGTGGAACTACCAAAAGGAAAAAAGAGCTATTATTGCAAGTGGGTTTACAAGATCAAATTCAACCCTGGCGGGACCGTGGAAAGGTACAAAGTGCGGCTAGTTGCAAAGGGGTTCACACAAATGGAGGGAATTGACTACCATGACACCTTTGCTCCGGTAGCAAAACTTGTCACTGTTCGTACTCTCTTGGCCGTTTCGACTAAGAAGGAGTGGTTCATTCACCAGCTTGATGTGAACAATGCTTTCTTGCATGGCGATTTGGATGTGGAGGTCTATATGAAGCTTACTCAAGGGTTTGCCACAGAAAACGACACTCATGTATGCCGTCTTAAAAGGTCACTTTACGGGCTAAAACAAGTTTCACGAAATTGGTATCACAAATTCATGGTTTTTTTTGTTAAGTATTGGATTCTCTCAATCAAATGTCGACCATTCTTTGTTCATTTGGGACAAAACTGGTATTTACATTACTATTCTCATTTATGTGGATGATGTTATAATTATCGGAAATAATATTGAACAAATACAACAAATCAAGACTCAATTAGATAAAGCTTTCAGTATCAAAGATTTGGGCCAGTTAAAGTATTTCATTGGCATACAAGTTGCTAAAACTGAAAATGGGCTCGTTTTGAGCCAAAGGAAGTATGTGCTCGATATTCTTCAAGATAGTGACATGCTTGGTTGCAAACCAAACAAATTTCCTATTGAACAGAATGTGAAGCTTGATCAAGGTGGGAATGAAGAAAAAGTTGATCCAAGTCAATATTGACGGCTTGTAGGTACATTGTTATATCTTCAAGCTACGCGACCGGATGTTACTTATTCGGTGAATATTTTGAGTCAATTTGTCGTTGGTCCAAGACGCAACCACTTGGATGCTTTGCATCGAGTCCTATGCTACTTAAAGGGTACTGCTACACAGGGAGTGCTCTTACCTAAAGATGGACACTCACAGTTGACAACTTTTTGTGACTATGATTGGCTTGGTTGTCCTTACACAAGGCGCTCCCGTATCGGGTATCTCATTATGCTTGGTGGGGATCCTATTTCATGGAAGACGAAGAAGCAGTCAGTGGTTTCACGGTCATCTGCAGAGGCAGAATAACGAGCTATGGCATCTACAGTTAGTGAAATTCTTTGGCTTTGTTAGCTTTTAAAGGATTTACAAGTTCACATCACATCTCCTACGAATTTGTTCTGTGACAATCAAGCAGCCTGACACATTGCCAACAATCATGTGGTTCATGAAAGGACGAAACACGTCGAGATGGACTGTTTCTTTGTCCGTGAGCGTGTTCTTTCTAAAGAAATAATGCCATTAAAGATTGATAGCAAGTTACAAGTTACTGATTTACTCACTAAAGGCCTTGGTTCGGCTCAATTCAATTTTTTACTTGGCAAAATGGGTGTTATTAACTTGCACGCTCCATCTTGAGGGGGAGTATTGGATATAGTTTATTGGCTGTCATTACTTTATTTATTACTTGTTTGTTATTCCGGTATTCTAGATTAGTTTGTTATCTTTGGATCTTTGTAACCTATATTAAGCCTCTTTTGGCGTATTGAATAAAGTGCTTAACATTATTCCAAACTCTATATCATCATTTCTTAGAGCGTGTCCTTTTCTAGTTCATTATTAATTTTGAAATTTGGTTTACATTTATATTAGATTCTACATATAAAACTATATAGAGACAATCAGACAATAGAATTGTGTCTAGACAATAACATAACATATATTGGAAAAATGGGTTTAACTAGGTTAGAAAGAATTTTTTTTTTCCCCATTTTTAACACAAATTTTGGTTTTGTTTGAACCTAAATGATGTTTGTACATTTTTGTTTTTCTCTGTGATACCTTTAATTTGATATGTTGATCGCAATTATAGATGCATTAAAAATAAACCTTGAATCTATTATTTTAGCAAGCAGTAACTAAAGGTGAACAACTGGAGCTTACGGTTAACAAATAAGTTCTCAAGGGATTACTAGACCAAAAATTGACCGAACAAATTGGAAACATTAATTAAATAGAAGACACATAAGTATTAAAGCATGTAATTAATAGGATTTATTGTTGTTCAACCTATATAGACATACCTATATCAATTACTTACTTAATCCGGGTTTTAGCTAAGCGTTCTACACCCCATGTCCTATACACTAAATGGATGATTCTTCATGACAGAGATCACTTTAGACTCTACTTACACTTAGAAAGACGATGAAATTAAAAGAAATATGTAATTGAAGTTATCAATTGATGTGATGTGTGATCTCCAGGAGGTCTTCTAAAAACGGTAGGTCTAGTTAGTTTCGAGAGGAGAAAATTGTAGAGAGCATGAGGAATCCAATCCCATTAACAATTTGTGTTAGGGGACTTTTATAGTAAGGCTTTGGTACTAGTCTTGCGGTGAAACAAGGGCATCAAATCCGACAGGGACAGTGACATTGACTGGATTAACGTGCTCCTTTATTCATCATATATTGTTATGAGCATTATTTTTCTGTGTCGTTTGCAGGCGTTGCCTTTTTATCGCAAGGCGAACTATTCGGATAGCTAGGCTTGTGCAGGCTCACTGGCATGGAGCACGACCACCTAACGGTTGGGTGCTAGATAAGAATATGTTGAGCATAGTGGCAGCTTGACGACCCAACTGCCGCCAATGCACATTAGTAAATTATTTTTGTCGTTCCTTAGGCGCGTCCGAAGGGAAACGATATCATCAATCAATTAGCATGCATAAACAAATTACAATGTTGTTGATGATGATGATTCTTTCTAACATAGTATGGGTAAAAGGATTCATGTTGTTGGTGGTGATGATCCTTTATAAGCTTGGTGAACATATGGACAAAAAGCTTCAAACGTAATGGAAGTGATTTTTGATCTTCAACAATGATGTTAGGAAAGGATTATGAGGTGTCCGAAATCCTCCAATCCCTAAAAAAAATAGCAGATTTCGACTGTAAAATGTATAAAATTGATGAGGAGAAATATCAATTTAAAGAGGATCGTCAATATAGAAAATAGGGCCCAAGATGAAGGTGTTCTAGGTGGCATTTTGGATGATCCCTAAAATGCTAAACATGAGATTTCTAGAATACTTGGCATTTTAAGTCTCTGCGATGGAAGTCTTTGAGGAGCGAAATTCCACACATGGGGTACAAGGTTCAAACCATGACAAATCTAAAATTATTGTTAAAGTTCCGCAATTGACCTTTACACGTAAACCTTATGACAGATTAACATGAATACATGATATACTCAGATGGTACAATTTATAAATTTCTTTTACGAGACATAAACATGGAATAATACTTGATTTGATATTTATATTATTCGTAACACCATTTTGGATGTGTGACATTCTTGACCATGTCCAAAGACGGTTTAGTACAATTATCTCTAGTATAAGGGTCCACATATAATTTTGCTTGAGGAAGCAACTTTCATTAAATGCAAAACTAATTAGGTTGCTTCAACAATTTACAAAGAAAATACTCCTAAGCCTTTTATATAAGCTTATCCTTTTTTCTAATATAATTTATAAACATGTTTGGTTTTTTATTGTTAACTTACATGAACCCAATTACTCTATCAACCAAAACTAGAGTTGTATAATATCAAAAAAAACATATACTATAACGTAAAAGTTAGGGAAATAAATAGTGTGCTTTTCTAGATAACACAAAATAAAAAATTATATTTAATATACTTCTTTTTTGGAATTTGAAAACAAATATTATTAGAAAGAAATGTATTGGAGACTACCAAATTCTGCGTTGTTGGTTATGGTGGAGCCACTTTTACTACAAGAATGGGACCCATTTGAATCTTTATAAGAAGTTGCTCGTCTTCTTGAATTCATATTTCACATTCATATCAACATCCCCCATTCCCCACCCCCCTCTTATACAAAAACCCATTAATACTTCACCATCAAAAGCATCAAAAATAAACCTAAGTTCCTTTTTTCCGAAACTTTCAAAGACGAACACACACTCAAAGTGGGTATTCAAATCAAGAATGCCGAAAATTCCCATAATCAAGATTCTTCTGGCGTTACTGGTTGTCTTTTCATGCGTTTGTTCCTCCATTAATGGAGCTGTTTCTTACGACGATAAAGCAATCATCATCAATGGCAGACGAAGAATCCTCATGTCTGGTTCAATTCATTACCCACGAAGCACCCCTCAGGTATAGATTCTTTTTGGGTTTTCTTCTTCTTGATTCCTCAAATGCTCTCACTGGGTTTTAAAAAAGATTCGAGGGTTTCTGATTCTTAATTTTTCTGGGTATTTTTTTTCAAAAATCAAAATCATATGTTTTTCATGTAAGTCACATAATTTGAAATATTTTGGTCCTAATTTTTAAATTTGTTGTGTATATGTATGTGTAGATGTGGCCTGATCTTATAAAAAAGGCAAAGGATGGAGGCTTAGATGTGATTCAAACTTATGTCTTTTGGAATGGGCATGAACCATCTCCTGGAAAGGTATAAAATTAATTACAAAATTATTATTATTATTATTATTATTATTATTATTATTATTATTATTATTATTATGATTAAAAAATTAATGAATTTTCTTGTTTCCAGTATAATTTTGAAGGAAGATATGATTTAGTTAAGTTCATAAAAACCGTACAAGAAGCGGGTCTCTATGTTAATTTACGCATTGGCCCTTACGTTTGTGCTGAGTGGAATTTCGGGTAATCACTATACATGCTTTTAATCTTTTATAATAGCAATTAAAGTTACAACTTTTCATCATCTAAAAATACACACAAAAAAAAAATAGAAAAGAAATAGCATTATCTTTGTGTTTATGCTTTTTTATGTTATATTTTGGATTCAGGGGATTTCCTGTTTGGCTAAAGTATGTACCGGGTATGTCTTTCAGAACAGACAACGGACCTTTCAAGGTTAGATTTTTATTTTTTTATTTTTTGAAGTTGATTAAAATTACTAAAATACCCTTTTCTCTAATTTGGTTCCTTGTCTTCTATGATGTAATAAAAAAAAAAAAAAAAAAAAAAAAGAGTGCAATGCAAAGATTTACCGAGAAAATAGTCAGCATGATGAAGTCAGAGGAGTTGTTTGAGCCTCAAGGAGGTCCAATTATCTTGTCTCAGGTTTTGACTTTTCTTGACTTTTGTTGACTTTATTTAATATAAATAATTATATATATGGGTTTAGGTAAGCTAGAATTGATCTGAATTTGAATTTGAATTTAAAAAATGATTGTTTGGTTTTACAGATAGAAAATGAGTATGGACCTGTGGAATGGGACATTGGTGCCCCTGGAAAAGCTTACACAAAATGGGCAGCTCAAATGGCAGATGGCCTTAAAACCGGTGTCCCTTGGATCATGTGTAAGCAAGAAGACGCCCCAGATCCAATGGTAGTACAACTCATAATGCACATCGTACAACTCAACTTAATACTCCTTATTTAAAAATTGTAACATGTTGATTACATGACTCGTGACAGATTGACACGTGTAATGGTTTCTACTGTGAAAAATTCACTCCTAACAAGCCATACAAACCTAAAATGTTTACAGAGCTTTGGACTGGCTGGTAGGTCATGTAAATGTTATCTCTAATTTTTTTAAATTTCACACTTCACTTGCATAATATTTAATATATGTATCATGATATAATTATTTTGTAATTTTTTTATTCAAGGTTCACGGAATTTGGTGGTGCGATTCCTACCAGACCTGTTGAAGATATAGCTTATTCGGTTTTGAGATTCATACAAAATAATGGTTCTTTCGTCAACTACTATATGGTAACATAAGATATATGTATTTACAGATTTGCCCCTGATTATTTTAGTAGGATTTGTGGATATGTTTTGTTTGTTGACTAAAATGAATGGTTGTTTAGTATCATGGGGGGACAAATTTTGGGAGGACAGCAGGGGGTCTGTTTATCACGACAAGCTATGATTATGATGCGCCTATTGATGAATATGGTACACAATCAAATCGTTAATTTGTTTTTTTTTTTTTTTTAATTATAATATTTAATTTTTGTATTAATCGTCTTTTATTCAATGACGATGGTTTAATGATGTGATGTTACAGGTTTACTAAACGAACCAAAATGGGGGCATTTAAGGGATTTACACACAGCCATAAAATTAGTTGAGCCGGTTTTAGTTTCATCTTATCCTACTGTTACCTATCCCGGAAAGAATCAAGAGGTTAGTTTCGTCATTTCTCAAAAACAACCATATTTCTTTTTACCTTGATTTTCCTTATTATTAATTATCCGATCACAGATACATGTATTTCTACCAAAAAATGGAGATTGCGCTGCATTCCTTTCAAACTACGACCCACAATTTTCAGCAAAAATGACATTTGGAAATTCCCAATATGACCTCCCTCCTTGGTCCATTAGCATCCTCCAAGACTGTAAGAAGGAAGTTTTCAACACCGCAAAGGTAATAAAATTACCATTCTACCCTTTTTTTTTGTCCATATATTTCTCACTTTTAAATTAAATTCCAGGTTAATGCTCCAAGCACACAAAGAAAGATGACATCTGTTGGATCGTTTTCATGGCAATCATACAATGAAGAAGCTCCATCTTCAGATAGCAGTGATACTTTATCAATGGAGGGGTTATATGAACAACTCAATGTTACTAGAGATGAATCTGATTATTTATGGTACCTTACAGAGTAAGTATTAAAATTTTGAAGTCTACTTATATATTTAATATTTAATATCTATAAATTAAATTTGATTATTTGATTTTCCAGAGTGTATATATCACCGAATGAACAGTTTCTAAAAACGGGCAGTTCCCTGTGCTTACAGTGATGTCAGCAGGGCATGCTTTGCATGTGTTTATCAACAATCAACTCTCGGGTAAATAAATAACTAAATATATCATATTTTATGGGTATAATAATTATTAAACAAAAAAAAAAATTATGTGTTTGACTTTTGATTGTTTGGTCAAACTATAGGAACTGTTTGGGGATCACTGAAAAATCCAAAGTTAACGTTTAATGGTAACGTGAAGTTAAGAGCGGGTGCTAACAAGATTTCCATGCTAAGTGTTTCTGTGGGCCTTGCGGTTAGTTTTTATAAAATATATAAATAAATAAAAAATACTTGGAACAATTATATATTTATATTTAAAAATTTGTAACGATTTGTTATTACAGAATGTGGGCACACATTTTGAGACATACAATGTTGGGATCCTAGGTCCGATTAGTTTAACAGGTTTAAACGAGGGTACACGAGACTTAACAAAACAACAATGGTCTTATAAGGTTTGTTTGTTGACTTTTATGCCCCTATAATATTACAAATACAATTTAATAATAATATAATTGTTTATTAACGTGTAGGTTGGTTTAAAGGGCGAAAGTTTAAGTCTCCATACGCTTGACGGAAGTTCATCTGTTGAGTGGCTACAAGGGTCTTTAGTGGCTCAAAAGCAGCCTCTTACTTGGTACAAGGTAATTTTTTTTTTAACATTTTAAAAGTTGTGAGCGTTTATAAATAATAATAAAAATATATTATTAACATGTGTTAAATTTTTGTTTTACTTTTAGACTACATTCAATGCACCAGATGGAAACGAGCCACTAGCTTTAGATATGAATGGGATGGGAAAAGGTCAAATGTGGGTCAATGGGGAGGCAATAGGGAGACATTGGGCTGGAAATAAAGCACGTGGTAATTGTGGGAAATGTAGTTACACTGGAATTTATAATGAAAACAAATGCAATCGATATTGTGGAGATCCATCTCAAAGATGGTGAGAATTTTCGAATTATATAATTTTTTGTTAGTGTTATTATTTATTACTTTTCACTTTTCATTTATTAAAATGTGTTCCAAATTGTAATTATTTCAGGTATCACGTTCCACGATCATGGTTGAGACCAACGGGTAACTTTTTAGTTGTTTTTGAGGAATTGGGAGGCAATCCAGATTGGATCACTTTGGTCAAAAGAAGTTAGCAGAAAAAGTCAAAAAGTCAACACCTTGGTAAATACTAAATACACGTAAAGAAGATATAAAGATGAAAATAACGATTGATTGGTTAGTATGTGCAGTTGGAAATGTAAAGGCATATCGCCTGCCATGTTGGCCATTTAAAAAAGTGTTGTATTGTAATTTGTAAGAGTGTTTAATTTGTATATGCTTTCGACCAAAATCCAAAAGGCGTTTTAATTTTAATTGTTATATATATAAATATAAAAAGAAAAGAAAACTAGTGTTTTGCATTTCACATGGAGATGAATCATGAACGAAGTAACTTACTAGAGATTGTGTTAATAGCATCATCAAGATCTTTGTATCCATGGAAAACATCTTTTCCTTGATTTCTCCATCGAAGGATTCTTCTGTGTAGATCCTTATACAAAAGAAGGGTATTTTGGTCAATTTGAAACTGGAGCAAATTATTCACACACTTGATCAGATATTTAACAACCCTTAGTTTAATCTTGCAAATGATATCAACTGCATTCTCTCGAGTATCACATATGGAATCTGAAATCCTTTCTGTAATATCAGTTAAGTGGAAAACACTACAAGCCCCTTCAACTGCTTCCGTTAATCTGGTATGTTGACTTTCTGTTGACCGAAGAATTATACCAGTTGTAACATAATGAAGAAGCAATTCGAATCCATCTTCATTAATGGAAGCATGAGATCCAATTAAGATCCCAAATGTAATCCTTCTAAACATTGCATTCTTCTGTATATCAATTGCTTTTACTTCTTGAAACTCCTTGAGCCAAATTCGAATAGTTGAAAGGTTAATAACTAAGGGTTTTGACAATTTTGACAATTTTTCAGCCAAAATACCAGAAACTGATTCAGTTACAGGGTCTAGAATCCATGAAATGTACCAAGATGCTGCAGCTGAAGAAGATGATGTCTGTTGTAGATAATCAAAACTCTTTCCAGAGAGTAGAAATGAAGCAAAATAAAACCAATCAGGGAAGTTCATTGCTATGGACCATGTAGATTTGTGATCCAGTGATGAAATTGTATTTGTTTGAGGAGAAGAATCTTTTATGTTTTGAACTAATTCAAGAAATCCATTACATGACAAGGGTTCAGTGAATTTTCTGAGTAAACTGTGGTTGGAGAGAAAGTATGCATTTGAAAATGGAAGCTTTGATCCTATTTCTGCAGATAATCCCCACCATAATGGTCTAGAGAGTAGATCTGGTATCATTGAAACCAATCCAACTTGAAGCTTTAATACAGAATCTAAACCCCTGTTATGAATAATCAAAAGTAAATATCAAGTAATACAAGAACTTGGATTCAAAAATAGTAACTTACGTGTGCAGAAACCAGGTATGAAGTAAAGATCTTGTTTCAATGAAAATCAATGGAGAAAGTGCCAAGCAAATTATTATGGATCTCCATTTTATCTTCTCATAGAGTTCATCATTCAGACAAATAAAGGGTCTTGCAATAGATTCTTGCAATATTTGTGATATATCTTCCAGAAGAGTTTGAGGGTCAAGATACCATATTAGCAACCTGCAAAAGAGAAGATACATGAAGAAGAAGAAGAAGAAGGTAAAATAACATCTGGGTGTTATGGTAATCCATACCTCAGTTGTAATTCTTGGTTGTTAGTAGGAATCATGTTTGGGATATAATACACCAGCTTTGCTAATGCATGAGCATGACTCATCTCTTCAGTTGATTGAACATTGAAAACTGGTGTAAGTTGCATTGTGTATTGGAATTGAGTCCTCATCACAGCTACTCGTATAACAGCATACAGTAATGAACGAGAAAGCATTCCTGCAAAAATTCAAAAATCGAAGTCAGGTTTGACATTGATAATCAGTAAAGTTTCGAAAATTTTTGATAGAAGACACTTAAAAGTCACCTTGATGAACCCACCATGTTCAGTTAATTTCCCCAGAGCATCGGCACATGATTCCATCACTCTCACGCAATCATGGGCCGACATATACCCACCAATTCGCAAAACCGCTGATTTATCGGATTTTAAGACCTCACATTCGATTGATGAAGATAAAACCGAGACGATTGTATTCACTGAATACTCAATTACCGAATCAAATACCTAAATAATCACGAATCAAGATCATATAAATTACAGTAATAAAGAACTACTTTAAAAACTAATCATTTCAATTTATATCACCTGAGGGGCTGTGAAGCACATCAAAGACAACGCGGTGTCCAAAACCCTAACCCTTGATTGTTCGCTCAAGTTGAGTGATTGGTTCAGAGCTGCCACTAAAACATCATCTGATTGGTCGGCGTTGTTGGTATCGGCATTTCCGGTTTCAATTTGGGACGCGAGTCTCGAAAATAGACCGGTTAGTTCCAGTAAATTGGACATCGGCGGGAAAAGAAGTGACTCCGACGAGCGATGCCGACAGAGAAGAATGCCTATTTCGCGCCAAACTTAAAAGAGAGTTTTGGTATGGATTGATTGGATTCTGTTTTTGAGCCCATTGACCAGCTTTCAGGCCTAAATGTGAAGCCCAGCTATACACAATCTCATGTCCTTTTTTCTCTTTACGTGTATGGATCGATTGGATTCTGTTTCGGGCCGGATTCAAAAAAGACCAAGACCAAACACATTAAAACGAGACTGTTTCAAGACTGGCCTAAAAAGAATACAGAACTTTTATGATACCAACATGTGTGACCTCGAGACTCGTATAAAAATGACTGGTAACGAAAATTTATAAACATATCGTTTTTTTGTGTTAATTAAACAATTTTTATTCATATATTATTTAACTTATTTCATTTTTTCTTTTATTAAACTTAAGTATATCATTCTTAATCTATAATTTTGGTATTAATTACATTTTGTTAACGTAAAAACTCGAAACCAAAACCAAAAAATTGAAATTGAACCAAAAAATGCTCATGGAATGACCATGAGACCGAACCGAAAAAAAAAATTGAGACCAATCCCAAAAAAAGACCGCGGAAAAGACCGGACTGATATTGTTCAGGACCGGTCTGAAAAAAAAATTAAACTGCTCTGAGACCGCCCCCAAAAATACTAAAACATTTCAGGACCGGCCCGAGACTAGTTCGCTGTCAATGTGCAGCTCTAATACAACGCTTCAATAATATAAAGAGAAAGTTATGTGGTTGGTACTTATGTTTGTCAAAACAGGCTGATTCATTGCAATTATTGAAAATGTTGCATGTTATGTCCCTATGATTTCATTTTTTGCGTGGATAGTCTTGTGGATTAATGTTCTTTCATAAATGATCTACACTTACGATTTTACCCATGCTTGCGGTTTCATTTTTCTTTCATAGATGATCTGAAAATCACAATTTGGAGAAGAAAATGTTGGAAGGCATCATTTTGAAACATGCTTTTGGTTTTTTTATTTTAATTAAGGCATTGTACTTGTTGAATTCTACTCGATTGATTGTTTAGCCATAAACGGCTAAAAATGTTATTTTCCGATTTATAGTTTGATTTTCATCTATATGTGGTTAATTATGATGGATTGATGTTTTGATTCATTTATAATTTTGTGATTCATGTTTTGTTTAATTTAAACTCTTGAATTTTACTTGGTTTAGGATTAGCCACTTTAATTAGGTTCATTCTACCAAAGCTCTTTAATTTATAAAATTTGTAACTGTTTTATGAATTATAATTAATAACAACAAAAGTTGGTTTTATGTTTGGATTTAATCTCATTGTAAACTTGATATCACATGCTTTTAGACTTCCAAGCCTATGAGAAGTATTGATCACTGTTTTGGAATACTTGCAAATGACTTAATGCAACTTTTCAACTCGATATAAGAGTGTGCTTGTATTAAGTTAGAAAAAGCTATGTTTAGTTAAAGACTTTCTTTAACTAAATAATCTTGACAAGTAAAGTGACACTAAAGCTTATTAGTGTTTATTAGTACCAATTAAGATTAGTAAATGATTCATACATCAATTCATAACTAGCTTACATTATATGTAAGACCCCAAAATTTAGAGAGAGATAACTTTTAGTAAACTATTGACCGAAAAGGACAAAATGGTCAATTATGAGAATTTAGCAAGTTTATGAAGTTGTGAGTTCATGAAAATGGACAAGATGAGTTTAAGTCACTAAGATGACATTAGATGAGTAAGTTCAAGAGAAAGAATGCACGAGAAGTTGCATTTTGGCCAAAAGGCTAAGATGGGTATTTTTATGCTTTTTAAGCCAAGTTGGTGACTTAATAGGTTAAGAATCATATAAAGTCAGTGATAAATGACTTAACATAGTTGTGGAGTATGTTCCCACCTTTGTGTGGACATAAAGATCATAGATGACGGGTTAGAAACGAAAAAGTTATAAATGTTAGAAGTTAGGGAAAAGTTGTCGCTAAAGTGGAATAGAATCAACAATGCACTTTGTTGATCACCAGGTACCGCAGCATGATACATAGCTCACCATGGCTTGCTGGCGTAAGTGAGTTGCCATTGAATGAAGTCAAAAGGACACCACGACGTGGTAAAGAACTCATCGCGGCATGGTGTCGCAATAGATGTAAAGGTTGTGAAGCCTTCATTCCCATAAAAAGAACTCATAATGTTCTTAAACTTCAACTCTTAGCTTGATTTATTTACAAAATTTTCGAAATTTCACTATTATCTTTCTCTTATATCACATATTTTTGCCGAACATCTCCTATGCTATATATATTGTAGTTGAAATTGAAAATTATGTAAGAGGAAGATAAATGTGTAATTTATAAAAATATGGAAATAATGAAGTTAGAAGTTAAATTTTAAGAACATTGTACAATTAGAATGTATTATATGATACAAAATGACGTAATATAGTGAGTTTGCGTACGTAAACTTATATACCCTTAAGGGTATATTCACTTTTCCCATATATATATATATATATATATATATATATATATATATATATATATATATATATATATATATATATATATATATATATATAATCGGATTGTTAAATAACCACTTACATGGGAAATTTAAATGAATTGGGTTTTGCAACCATTGGACACAAACATTATTCATCATCCATTTGTTCACTCAATCACTACGTACAAACATTTATATATATATATATATATATATATATATATATATATATATATATATATATATATATATATATATATATATATATATATATATATATATGTGTGTGTGTTAGTGTGTACGTTATGACAGA